CCTCCCCGTTCCGCCGCCTATGAGTTCGGCTTGACAAGGGAACCGAGAGGTGGCAGATAGCGATATTACGTATCTGAACGAGGGTTACGCACGAGCTCAGATGGGGCGGGGTGGGGCACGACACCTGGCGGGCTGCTGGGATCGTGCTGCCGATCGAGCCCCTGTTGCCCGCCCGCGCGCCGCCGTGGGAGGCGGCCGCCTGCCCACACGTCGCATTCTCCCTGGACATCGGAGCGCTGCGGCGGGACGCCCCACCTGACGAACTGCACCAGGCGGCGCAGAGACACCTAGCGTCCCTCCACCAGCAAGCCATCTGGGTTTGGACGGATGGGTCGGCGGATGCGGGAGTCCGCAGCGGAGGAGCAGGAGCCTTTGTGGAGTGGCCGGACGGTGCAACCGACGAGCTACGCGTCCCGGCCGGTCAACTCTGCTCGAGCTTCAGGGCGGAGATGGTCACACTCCGCGCGGCCCTGAACCACCTGCGCGACCACCCGCACCAGCCGAGCGCGCCGATCACCATCTGCTCGGATTCGCAGTCGGCCCTCGCGACGCTGAGAGAGGGCCCGGCGTCCCAGAAGACCCTGCTAGGAGCCGCCATCTGGACCGAACTAGCGGCCTTGGCCGGTCCGTCCCGCCGGATCCACCTACAGTGGGTGCTGTCCCATTGCGGCGTCGACGGAAACGAGCGCGCCGACCAGATCGCCAAGGAGGCGGCCGCGCTCCCCCAGGCGGCGGTCCCGGTGGACGTCGCTACCGCCCACCGCGCGGCCGCCAGACTGGCCCGCGACCGCACCATCGCCGCCTGGCCGGAGGGCTGGTACCGGACCCTGATGGAGAACCGGCTGCCGCCGCCGGCCGCGACGGGGGACAGATCGTCGGCCGTCGACGTCCACCAGCTCCGCGCGAGCCACTGGTCAGGATCCCGCCAATACCTTCACCGGATTGGACGGAACCCTTCCGATGATTGCCGCCAGTGCCCTGACACCGACTGTGCGGCGGGCCGGTGCACCGTGTGCCGGGAGGAGGCCGACACGCCCCGGCACTTCTTCTTCCGGTGCCCGGCCCTCATGGGCTGGCGTCTCCGGAGGTACGGGACGATTTTCCCGAACCCGAAGACGTCCGCGACGACGGAGAGGTGGCGGCCCTGGCGGCCGCCGTGAGGGACCTCCAGAGCCGCACGGCTACACCGCGGTGACGCGGCTGGAGGGAACACACAACAACAACAACAACAACAGCTCAGATGGCCTTCGGTTACATTTTTCGTTGCGTCTGTGATGATCTCTGAGTTATGTCGCATCGTCCGTTTTGTTATGCCCGGTAGTTCAGCGGTGAGTCGCTGGCAATCTGGCTCACTGATTCAACCCCTCAGACGCCGGCGGGCTGTGTGGCGAATCACCTTTTACAAATGTCGGGTATTGATAGCGTCATTCAGCGTATGTCGGTAGGCGCAAATATAGAGATTTTTGGTAATAACCTGTTTGTTTTCAGGGCGCTGGAATCAGATGATATAGCTCCCATATAGGAGATAGTGAGGTTGTTGATGGTAGGTATCTGAAGAGTGTTGTTACCCGACTCAGAATAATTGTAATGTGCCATGTCGATTGTACCTTTTACCGCAACCCTGTCCCTGTCGATACCTATATTAGAAGGCTTGCCTGAGTTAATAATAGTCTTCCATTTAGAGAAAAATATCTGTCAGTAATCAAAATCGTTAGGTATGCTGGTTCTGTTGCTCACCCCTTATCTACAGGCTACAGCATCGGCGCGGCACACGTCTTGGTGATTCCTGCTCTGTTCCTCCTGTTTCGTTTTTTAGCCGTCAACCTTGAAATTTACCACTTTCCTAACAACTCAACAGGAAAAAATGGAACGCAATATTTGGGAAAAATGTATGTTTCCGAAAAGCTTTATTTCTTCTTAAGCAGTTTGAACAAAAATAGAAGTCATTTCTCATTTGAAACTACCCCAATTATAACGATATGATAGTGCCCGTTATTGGCAATGTAGGTGGCAGCACCGTCGACTGCGACTTTTTCGCTGTAACTTCGACCTGCCCGAGCCTCGTCAAATCGCATTTTTACGCAAAACCAACTGCAGGGCTAGTGTTTTGGCATGCTCGCGCCAGTTTATATCTTTGTCTAACGCGAATCTGCGACTATCGACACACCCTAGCGTGCATGTCACCAACGGAACGTGGGCGTTGAGCGGCGACGCTGTTGAGTTTAAGGCGATGAATATTATTTTCGAGCGTTATGATATTATTATGATATGGTACAATAATTTTGATACTTGGCAGTTGAGATAAGGTACATTTCCGTGATTGTTGTGGGAAACTTGTGAGGTTATCTGGGGAAATACTGTACCTACAGTGCAATATTCTGTTTGCGAAGTTTTGCACAACGTTTCGGGGTTGTTTTGTGCGCGAATTGCATGTACGGTAAGAGGACGCACTGTTCAGGAGGGTAAGAGTACGCAGAATTATACATTAAATCGAATATACAGAAATATAGAATTATTAATCTTTCGCTCAATGACGTTTGTTTTGTAGGTATATCATCAATGGAGCACTGTGATGCAGATGCGTACCCGAAATTCTTCCAAATACGAGTTATTCTCCTTTTTGATCGTGCATTTTTTTTTAAGAAACACACGACATGATTATTTCCTGATTTATAGACTTGAAAGATTTATTTTATGTTTTTCTTTTTGGATACTAGAATTAACTTAAACGCCTTCTGAGTTTGAAGTTAAGCATTTGGACAGTGCAAGCTGCATAGGTGTGTGTTCATATGCTTGCGTACTCCACCCGCCTGGCGTGCGTACTCTTACACACCCCATATGGTAAGAGTACGCAAGTGCAACGGTTCAGAAAATGTCAGTTTTAGACCACTTCCATTTACGCTGAAGGATCGTTGCCCCATGGGTTGATGGCTAATTCAATGAACTTTAATATTCCCTATTTGCGATTTCTTTCCTTCAAATATTAAACAAATGAGAGCAAGAAATCCACTAAGTGCGTACTCTTATACGACTTCACCCTACCTACAACATGGTCTAGAAATCTGCGGTACAGCATAACTTCAGGCGCAAACCGTAGTGACATCGAACGGCAATGGTATAACCAGGGCACGGTATAACTAGGCTTGGAGATTCGCGGTACAGCATAACTTCAGGCGCAAACAGTGATGACATCTAGCGGCAGCGGTATAACATAGGCTTGGAGATGTGCGGTGCAGCATAACTTCAGGCGCAAACAGTCGTGACATCTAGCGGCAGCGGAACACAGACTTGAAGATGTGCGGTACAGCATAACTTCAGGCGCAAACAGTCGTGACATCTAGCGGCAGCGGTATAACATAGGCTTGGAGATGTGCGGTACAGCATAACTTCAGGCGCAAACAGTGATGACATCTAGCGGCAGCGGTATAACATAGGCTTGGAGATGTGCGGTACAGCATAGCTTCAGGCGCAAACAGTGATGACATCTAGCGGCAGTGGTATAACATAGGCTTGGAAATGTGCGGTGCAGCATAACTTCAGGTGCGTGTTATAGTCATCTCAGCTCTTGACACCCACGCTCAGCAGCTACTAGCGGCCGGCTCGGCTCCTGACGACACTGACTCAGCTCCTGACGACACTGACTCAGCTCCTGACGGCGCCGGGTCGGCTCCTCCCTCAGGAGCCGTGTAAGCACCAGCTCCTCGTCTCCCGGGGCCGCAGTGTCGACTCGAGTCAACTCGCAGTGTCAACTCGAGTCCACTGTGAGGGCGCCACCGTCGTCCTCTGTGGCGGTGCTAGTGTGGGACCTGCCGCGGCAGTGGGCCCACCTGCTGGAGGGCCACCCAGGGCAGCGGGTCCTGCTGTAGGGCCTGCTGTAGGACCTCCCTCGCCTGTAAGGCCTATTATGGGACCTGCTGTGAGGCCTCCCACGGATGTAGGGTTTGTAGGGCCTACTGCAGGGGCCAGGGCCTGTCGTAGGGCCTCTTCGGCGGTGGAACCCGCGCCCGCTACTCGCTAGTGCCCAAAACGGCCCATTTAAACGCAGTTCACACATGACCGTCAGTCTGTCGGTGTCGGGCCCGTCACCGTCGACCTGACGGCCTGCAGCCCGTCAAACGAAAGTTGAGATTTGGTAGCTCCCATTGGCTGCCATATGTTGTGACAGAAATGGCGCACCATTTTCGAGATGGACGCAGATGGGGGAAGGGGATGGGGGATGGTAGAGGCCGAGAAGTTAAAGATATTCTTTGAATTACGGAACCAAAAAAAAACACGCTTTTACATTTTTATGTCAAATAATGCTGCAATTTTATTTTAATGAAAGACATATCTGTTCGCTGACTTAAATCAGGGAGCGAATCTCAGGATATCGTGCCGTAATAAACATTTTCATCTCAACAAATGGATAGAAAATGATATAAATTATCTTAGAAATGCATTTAAGCTCCATGCTGCATGATAACGTTCATTTTCCTCTTCCTCCAACACGCAGACATTCAAACCGACGGGCCCGTCACCGTCAAAAGTTGAACATTGCTGAACTTTCCAAAGCGACGGCCGTCAGGTCCGGCGCCGGCGCAGTCAGCTGTTGCCGGCCGTCAAACGCTGCCGGTTCACACATGCCCGTCGACCTGACGGCCGTCGCTCCGTCGGTTTCGGCCGTTTTGACGGTGTCGGGCCCGTCACCGGCAGACCTTACGGGCAAGTGTGAACTGCGATAATCATTCGTCGTAGATATTGCGAGAACGAGCTTGTTTCTTTCCAATATGGCAGACTTTTCGACTCAGTATTCAGGAAGGCTATACGAACTGCGGCCGGAACTGCCTCTGCCGCTGCGGTGCACCGTCGGTGGTCCGCACAGCCCAGTGGCTCCAGACGGTGCACCGCAGTGGCTCCAACCTAACTCATTATTCCATAGCTCTGCAATGGCCTTTTCAGGCGCAAACAGTTTACTCTCACCAAAACAGACAAGCTGTAAACTACCACCCGACATGACTTACCGCGAGTGGGGGGCGACATCCGGCCGCCCGGCTGACGTGCAGAAGGTGTGACCCGGCCTCGGACCGGGTCACTGGTTCAGGCTCACTGCAGGCTGACGGACGGGTCACTGGTTCAGGCTCACTGCAGGCTGACGTGCAGAAGGTGTGACCCGGCCTCGGGCGGGTCACTGGTTCAGGCTCACTGCAGGCTGACGGACGGGTCACTGGTTCAGGCTCACTGCAGGCTGACGGACGGTTCACTGGTTGAGGCTCACTGCAGGCTGACGTGCAGGAGGTGTGACCCGGCCTCGGGCGGGTCACTGGTTCAGGCTCACTGCAGGCTGGACTGGTTTCCAAATGCGAAACGATCATGAGTGAAAAAGTTTGTCTGATATTTTGTTACGCTTTACCGGTAATAGAAAAGAAAGGTAGATGGACAGGTAATTGCATAGTTCTTCGTCTAATGCATTTAATGCTGCCCTTTGAAATGCACACGGTTTTAACTAGTGAAAAACAAGATACCGCCAGTCATCAGAAATGGTAAATTTAGTTTTGGTTTGAAATTTGTCGGAAAAGTTTCCCATAGAAGGTATTAGGTAAAAGAAAAATTATGTTATTAGAATAAATTGCTCATGTTTATAAAGATAATTTAACACAAATGTTTTTTTGTTTTGTTAACCCTGTTTAACCTGCCAGACGTTTTACTTTTACACTCTTATTGCAATCACGTGAATACGTTTAATATGTACTTTAATTGTTTGGCCTCAAGCCCATTGGATTTTAATTGATCATTCGGTAGCCAGTCAAGTTGACATGCCTCGAGACAAAATAATAATGGTGTAAAATGTCACATGCCAAATACAAGTATTTTGTCGCTTTGTTTTATTTTTTAGAGCAATGAGCGCGGAAGTGTGACCTTTTCTCGCTGTTCAATAAATGGTGTAATCGTTGGCCATTTCTTGCTCACGGTTACATAGGCGTCGCTAGAAATGTTCGGTTGGAGGTAAAATCCCATTTGGTATTAAATCATGCCTTTCTATAAGTCATTAATCACACGTTATATGTCATTCGACGCGCCATGGCGCGAGGAAGGCAATGGTGACAAAGTTTTTTCTCTAGCCATGAAAAGTAAAAAGTATATTCTTTAGAGAGGAGTGAGGACGACTTCGGTAAAATCAATACGGTACCCATTACCTATTACGTCAGGTTAACCCTCGCCCTGGCAGGGCATTTTTCATAACACGGCCTGGCAGGGGGGGGGGGGTCGATGCGACCCCCCCCCTCGCGATTGGCTCCTATGGCATCTAGAAGCACCAAATTTGGTAGGTAGGTGGGCCCCCTAGAGTTCTCGCCCCTGTGCAAATTTGGTTGCTCTAGGTCAATATTTAGGGGGGTTTTGGGGGGTATAAATGTAAAAATTTCGCTAAAAACAGGTCAAAAGTTTTTCGCTTATAACTTTTGATCTAATTAAGATAGAGCAAAAAGAAAAGCACCAGTGAACTCAGCACGTCAAGGCGCGTCGAATGATATACTTTTTAGCTTGCTGAAGTGTACTAAAAGTTTTTCTCAAATTTTAAGTAAACTTAAATTAATAAATTAAGTTAAAGTTAACCAAATTGCATCATATCGCATATCATTCGATTCGGCTGATCACCAGGAACACAATGATACCATTTTTTAAGCTCTAGCGTCATTATGTGCCAAGTTATTGGCAAAAACGTCATTTGACCTCAGTTGACCTCATTTGACCTGACCCATGGATAAGTACACCAAACAAAGAAGCACCAAGTGACCTGCTGTTAAGTACTGTGGTTTCAAAGCACAAAAGTGATAGAACGAAGCGGATATCTCCAGTATTTTCCGAACTTAGTATTTTCCCATAGGCTTAACATTACGACGTACGACCTCTAACTGACCTCAGGTCAGTGACCTCAAAAAACCCGAACTATATGTTATACAACTGGGTGAACTTAGCACATCCTGAAAGTTTGAAGGAAATCAGTGCAAAACTGTGAGTTGGACAGGTGTAAAAAGAAAATTGAAATTTGACCATGACCTTGTACCGGTTTTTCTGACCTGGTGACCTGACCCAAGGTCACCCGGACCTGAAATTTTCAGATCATATTTAAAAAGATTGCCCCATAGGCTGTGCCAAATTTGGCGGCGCTGCACGCCGCCGTTTTTACGCTATCTTCGAAAAACCTTAGGGGGGGGGGGTCGCATCGACCCCCCCCCCCTGCCAGGGCGAGGGTTAAGCAGGGCAGAGCATTTTGATGGGGAGGACAGAGTAGGTCTGTAAGATTCCTCTCTCCTCAGACCAGCGCAACTTCTTCCGATACTCAACTAGGAGAAATTCAAAATGATCCAGGCAATCGGTTCGCCTTTCTAAAAATCTATATTCTTTCATGCACAGTGTCTGTGATGTATTTTCAGGGGTCTCCGTTTTAACTCCTACCCCGATTTCCACAAATCAGCTCCGACTCTGGTCAGAGCTATCGAATCTGCCGGTTTTGGGTCTGCAAGAACCCGGTGTTGCCTCAAGAGCTCGGCTGCGCTATTAGAAGTTAGCAAAGGTTTTCAGAAATCTTCGAAGATTCGTGTTCAAAAATCCGTGTATGCCTTCACAGACCTGCAGTATGGATGATCTTCAGTAAACTTGGGCCCTCAGAGATGGCCATAGGACCCTCGCCCGCACATGGGGGGGGGGGGGGGTTGCCACCCCCCCCAGGTAGTCTTTCTGCTCTGCACTCAACATTGTTAGAGCTAGAAGGCTGATTTTTCGTATAGCTGTTCCTCTATCCTTTATTGATGTCCACTGAAAATTTCAAGTTTCTGTGGTTTTTGGTTTCGGAGATATGACCTTGTTTTTCAGGTCATGTCATGACCCAAATGGCCAATTCTCAACATCTTGCGTTGGCTATGGGCCTTGTGAGCTTTTGACACCTTGATTTCGGCCTTTTTTGCCAGTCTTACCTCCCACCTATCAGGGAACATGTTGTTCGACGATGTACAGATGTCAAGGTCAAGGTCAAGGTCAACCTAGGTCATCCAAGATAATTGCGTTTTAGGCAAGCGGAATTTACTTTTTGTGAAGTTTTTTGACTGCATTTTTGGTAAAAGCTTCTCAGATCATGATTTCATGTAATATGGACACATAAACAATCGGTGCACACATCAGTATACACACAGACACACACAGATATACAAACACATATAGCTGACCTTGACCTAACTTGACCTGAAATGACCTCAGCAGCAAAAATCTGGTCGGATAGTGTGACAAAGAGGTTCTAGCTGGCTTGGCACCAGAAAACGGCATCGTCATCGTTATATGATAAGCAGCGCACTTGATATCCAACGGTGACCCAAAACAGCAACATTTTTTAGTTTGACCTGACCTGGAAGGTTAATGACTGACCTGACATATGCGGTTTTGCCTTTGGACGGCAGAGCAAACCCATGCTTCATTATCCTTTCCTTCCAAGCAGCCAACTGCCAAGCTAACCGGCCGTCCGGCCCACCACCGCGATATGGAACAACGCTGGAGTGCGCCATTTGCCTGCGGCAGTGCCCCACCGCGCCGGGGCTGTTTGACAGGTCACCCGCACCGTGACCTCGCCACCCCCCCCCCGCCCACCTCCCCATCGGGCCCAGCTCGGTAGTGACCTCTCCTTGAATATCACATGGACTCGACTAAGGCTCAACGCCATCTAGTTACGTCTGGAGATCCTTACAAGATCCACTGTACCTACATATCTTGGTATAAACTTTTGCTCTTGTTAATTTATGGGCATAAGGTGATTTGTATGCGTCATGCGCAGGGCTGCGGAGTCGACAGATTTTCGGTGACTTCGACTCCGACTCCGGCTCGGGTTTCTAAAATCGACTCCGACTCCAACTCCGACTCCGGTCACAACTGTCGACTCCGACCGACTCCGACTCCGACCCCGACTCCGACTCCGCAGCCCTGGTCATGCGTGAGTGATCAGTAGCCACACATTTTGTAGGAAACTATTTTTTAATGCAACTAGCAGCACTTGCATTGCAATAGCTGGGGCTTTACACTTCAAATAAATGTTTGAGACGTTGGTATTTGCCATTTTTTAAGTCTGTCGTCCACACTGCTATTTTTTCATGTGGGTTGGACTGGTAGGTACCTGTTAAAATTAATAAGAGACATGCAGACCAGTCACTGATGACCAGAAATCTATAAGTGTTTCGGCTGTGCTCCGTCCCATGCTGAGCGTCAAACGCTCATATATACAGAACCACACGATCTGACGTGCCCACCTTATCTGAGGCATCGCGGCCGGCGGAACCGCCCGAGTGAGGCACGGGTGAGAGGGGCACGCCGTGTCGTCCGAGAGCCAAACCGCGCGGAAACGTTGGCAGATCATTCTCTGCAGCTGCGCTCTACATCCAGCCCGGAGCTGGCCGCCGGGTGGGTGGGTGCCGCTCCGCCGCTCCTCTCCGAGTATCGGTCGCTGCTGCTGCTATGTGGGGCGGCCCGGCTCGCGACTGCACCCCTGCGCGGGCGCGCCGGCGCCGCCCCTGCCGCCGCCGCTGCGCCGACGGCCGCCCGGCGGCGGCGGCGGCGGCGCGGCTAGTCGCCGCAGTGAGTGGTGGGGTGAGGTGTCGCGGCCGGCAGCAGCGAGCGGCCGACACTGGATGTGACTACAGACACAGGTGAGAGTCGCCAGCCGACAGCGGCACAGTGGCGATGGCTGTCGGCGGGCTGAGTCACATTCCCCTGTCTGATATCGGCCCGATATTTGTGTGACACCCGTGTTGCCGACTGCTGAAGGTCTGATGCCCCGTTTTGGCGGTGTTTTATTTTAGCGAACATGCCGGCGGTGGACGATTTGCCGAAAATGGTCAGCCTGTCACCGGAGCCCCTGGCGACGATGGATGACAAGACCAGCCTGGGTGGGAAGGTGCCGGAGCCGCTGCAGCCCACGCGCAGACACAACCTGGTGAGTCGGATGACGCAACTGCTCGGAGAAAACCCTAACCCGGTGGTGATGGGTCCCGTGCCCCTCGCACCATCCGATGGGGCAGACAAAATAATTTTCAAATATCGTACACTTCCATTACATCATTTGAGGCGACAAGAGCTGGCTATTTGCCCAAACAGTACCTACAGCACTGTCTAATGTCTATCCGCCCGGCCGCCCGCCGACCGGTCCGAGTGACGTCATCAATGTGGGGCGCCCGGCCGGCTAGAGCTGCAGCTTACGGCATGTTTGGAGTCCGGCCCGTGTCGCCACCAATTGTGGATGGAACGCGTCCAGTGAGGGTATCGATGTGCGTTATTCTCTGAACGGAGAAGGCGCCGGTGGAGCTGCGGGCTGCGGACCAATGCACAGTGGGGATTTTTCCGATCTAGCGCCTATTAATTCAAAAAATATTTTTTGGATTTTGGTTTATTTTTTGTGTCAGTAGGGCTAAGAAATGTCTGAATTTTTCATATATGGCATTGTTTTATCTGTATGTCCACAGCAAAACTAGGAAAAATGCGCCCAAAGTTCACACTCATGCGTGATTACTCAATGGGCTCAGTAAGGCCCGAAAGTATAGCTCAATTTCATTGTCCTGTCCTGTTGGTTTTAATCTTGCGAGGTCTTAAAGTTGCATATCGTCTGAAAGGCACCTTTATTAGGAATGGAATGGCAAACAGAAAGTATGCCACAACCTTACTAAGGTCACAAAAATGCCCTTTACAAAAAACCCTTACAGACACCATATTGAAGGAATGGTATTCCAAATAAATGTAGGAAATCAACAATGTTCTCCACACTTTTCCACTCCGAAATATATCCTATCGAATTCGCCACTTTCTTCTGCACAAGACAAGGCCTAGTTTGGCTGCCGAAACTTGCCTGAACACGGAATATTCACATTAGAGTATCTTAACACCCCACTCGAGGAGCGCTAGGGCAAACAGCACGATATAGGTATGTTCCGGACATAGGCGAATAATTTTACTTCGTGATTTATATGATGCATATTTTCTGAGACACATTCATTAGGAATAGGATGACAAGCGTAAATTATACATACCGTAACCTTATTAACCATCGCACTTGTGGGGAGGGGGAGGGGGAAGGGGTCGGATAAAACCCCATGGTTTTCCGCAAATTACTCGCGCAAAAAGCGGCCGATCGCGCCGAAACTTTCGGTACCCTCGAGATCATCAATTTTACATCTAACCTAAAAATTTCATGACTCTGACCCAACTGACCTTTGACCTGTGGCATATTTCTCGAGACCATGTTTGGCCGGAATCGCGATTTGGCGTATGCCAGCTCACATTATCCGCGGTTTCCAGTCTTTTTGTGGTTTTAAACGTTCAAATATGTGAAATGATGTTGGTGCCATGCATAATGGTGGGTGTCAAGGTCACGTGAAGGTCAAGTCAAGGTCATTGACCTTTTGATGACCTTGGTTCACTTTTTCGAGTTTTACTTGTTTCTAGGGTAGTTTTTGGTGCTGATTTCGATTTTAGCAGCCATTTGAATATTTACGAAGTAGTTCTAGTGCCTTCGTTCCATGTTACGAAGCTATCAGTAGTAGGTTACACTTCTATGGATGGCCGGCAGGACGCCTACTAATTGATCTAACCTGACCTGACCCGACCTGGCCTAAATGCATAAAGACATCGTCTGTGATCAAAACTAACATGAAATTCGTGATCAGCACCCCAAAATACCCCGTAACACCCTAACTTTGCGAAGTTTCAAGAGGTCTCGATTTCACAACTTTAGTTGGGTCATTAAACTGACTTGGAAAGTCAGCTTATGACCTTGGACTTTGAAATTGGATATATTTGGCCTAATTTCGTCATAGGCAGCACGCTTGACTTTTCCGCGAAGCTCTAGGACACACCAGCCAACATCTGTGCACAATCTGGCTACAATTCTACCTATGGTTTGCCCTCTACGAATAAATACGTGCTAGATCGGAAAAAATCCCCACTGTGCAATGGGATGACGAGCCATTCGTTCAATTTACAGATTCATTTCTGATTCCGCAGTTTGGGGTGATCAAGTAGGTTTGGTACTTGGTACCCAGGGTGCTATTGCTGTAATTTTCATTTGCAACATTTTACGTATACCTAGCATGTTGTTTTCTGTTTTCGGAATGTAATTTAAATAATCTGATGAGTTAGGTTTGAAATTAACTTCCGTCACAAATTGATATTAGATCCTCAAGGGCGCGGGAACTACGTTCAGACTGGGGGGGGGGGGGGGGGGGGGGCACACCACAATAGAGATCAACCTAGGGTACCCCCAAATCTAGTTTTCTCACCGGTTTTAGGCCACTTATTTTTCATCCCTTGGCTTTTTCAACAAAAAAAGAAAACATTTGCAAAACAAGTGTGGTATTCCGTCTCAAAGCTGTGGGGGCATCGCCCCCACGGCCCCAGAGTTGGAGGGGGGGGGGGGGGCAAGCTGCCCCCACTACCCCCCCCCCCCCGGCTCCCGCGCCTATGTAGATCCTAGATAGCCGAGACGGATGTCATTGCGATTCATGGTAGGATTCTGCGTTATAAAGGCCTAATGAATTGCTGTGTAGTGTGTACCTACATGTAGAATCTACATCAGGGGTCGGCAAATAGTGGGGCATGCCCCCTTTGGGGGTAATGGAGCCCTTTCGGTGGGGGTAATGAGGGATTTTGAGAAAGCCTATCTTTTTAGAGTTTGTAGCTCCAGTGATGGAGCCATCGTGACTGTTGCATCCCAGGGTTCAAAGATTAGCCCAGGCCAAAGGCACAGCACACATTGATTAGATACCAATTTTCACGTACCTGCTCGCCTCACCATCTCACCCCTCCGTACAGTCGTACAAAAGCAGCTGCAACTTTTAACCGTCGCCCGTCTGTTGGCGTTTCAACAGCCGCTAACGTAAGGGGGAGGAGTCGATCGGACCCCCGCGGCCTCTCGGACTCTGATATGGAGCTGTGCATAAAAAAGACGAGCGTGCTACCCGTGACAATAGGAAGCCGCTGCTGCCCATTTTTAAGGTCCTTGGTCATTCCGTCTCATTCAAGAGGGCAATGACAAGTGTCGAGAAAATCGGGACCCGCTATAACTTCTTGAAGTGAGATTTTATGGCTCAAGATGATCTCCAGGAAAAGCTCATAAGCCAACGGTCATTATGGGTCCAGACTCAGAGGCCAGTTTTACCAACAGAAAAATAGCCGCCTGCCGGAATTTTTGCCTAAAAATCGTTTCACATATGGAGCGTAAACGGTAAAGCCCTATCCGCTTACGAGCCCATCGCGTTTACGCTCCGTATGTGAAGCGGTCTTGAGGCAACAATTCCGGCAGGCGGTTATTTTTCTGTTGGTAAAACTGGTCTCAGGTCATGATATTTTCCGGGCTAATAAAAAAAAGATGGGCTCGAGGGTACAATTTGGTCGTGATCCAATGCCTTTTACGTGAGCTTTTAACGAAAAACCACCCACCGCCCCTATACGTACAGTGTGTCTAAAAAGAATGTACCGTCGCCACTACGTGGCGCTGGTGTCGCGAGCCGGTAGTTGGCTCAATCCGCACCAGACCACACATTCCCAAGCGCTAGGTGACAGCTGCGCAGCGGCCGGTAGTAGCGTAAGCCCGAACCTTCGTGACACGACCCCGGGGGGGGGGGGGAGGGAGGGGAGCGGGCGGGGCAGCGCGTGTAGGGAGGGGTGCTCCAGCAAGCTGGCAGTTGTCGCGGCCAAAGGTCAAGGGGTCACACACCAAGCGAACGGACGCTGATGTGGGTTCGTGGGGATCATGAACTTGTGTGTGGTAGGTGCGTCTTGCGATGCACGGGTGATACGCCAGGTCTAAGCCAAAGGATTCAGGGGAGAGCTGAAGAAAAACATCTGGTCAACATATGGCGAATAATGGGCCCAATCTTACCAATGCCGTGAATAGGCGAAATGCCGTGAATGGAGCCCATTCACGGCAACGGCATATTACCAATGCCGTGGATAGCTATTCACGCCATCTCATTCACGGCATGCAGTCGATGTTTATCCACGGCATTTTGGCAGTGCTTTAACATGGGCAGTGGCACAAGCTGCCGCGAGAGCGGCAGAACAAACGCAAATAATCAGCTGTTTGCGCTGTCGGTGGCCGATCCATTCACGCCACCTTTTAGTGCCGTGAATGACGGGTGTTGTGAAAGGGATAGGTCGTTGGGAGGATGTTACTATGCAATATTTGACACTATTATTTTTTTTAAAGTAAACAATTCTTCATATAATACCCTTGACTTCTTAGAGCGACGATTATACGCATAGTGATTATTTAAAAACATGTATTTTCCAGGGATACTCAAATCCATAAAAATAAACATGTTTATTCATTATATGGTCTTATTTTTCAAATCCATATGAGATCGTGGAGGCGATTTTAGCATCTGGGCCCAATCATACCAATGCCAAACCCATCTATATATGATATAATATGGATGTTTCAGTGTTCACCCCGTCCGGACGTCTCACAATCATCCTTCATGATTTCTAAATAAATATTTAAAACAATTAAAAACCGTAAACTTGTCAAAAAATTATCAGCACAGCACTCACAATGCATATTTTACCACTTTTTGTCTGACACATGCAGCTACGGAGCATGCTGTCTTCATGCGTCTCAATCTGACTTCTGAACTGAAAGCCTTTTTCTTGATATGCTATGGTTTTGAGATGTAGACGGGTTTCTTCAATATTTTGAGTAATTCCTTTTGTTATCGTGCTCGTAAAAAGCAGCAAATAAGGCTATAGCTTGAGCTGGCCGGGTACATGTACCCAAAGTTTAAACTTTACGAGCTGCATTTCAATTGCATTATTCCAATGTCTTAGAAACAACAGCGGAGCTATCACTAGGTCGTTACTTCAATAATTTTATCTAAAAATTGTTGCAATATCTTAACAGCAAGCAAATAGAAATGATGAGCAGCGAAACGAAGTTGAAAACTAATC